TGCCTACTGTGAGAATGAAGGGGAGTTGGGGTTCACTCGGCAGAGTCCTGAAGGCCCCCACGCTGCCTACTGTGAGAATGAAGGGGAGTTGGGGTTCACTTGGTGGAGTCCTGAAGGCCCCCACGCTGCCTACTGTGAAAATGAAGGCGAGTTGGGGGTTCACTTGGTGGAGTCCTGAAGGCCCCCATGCTGCCTACTGTGAGAATGAAGGGAGGGGTTCACTTGTGGTCCGAAGGCCCCACGCTGCCTACTGTGAATGAAGGCGAGTGGTCACTTGGTGGAGTCCTGAAGGCCCCCACGCTGCCTACTGTGAGAATGAAGGGGAGAGTTGGGGGTCCACTTGGCGGTGTCCTCAAGGCCCCCACGCTGCCTACTGTGAGAATGAAGGAATTGGGGGTCCACTCGGCGGAGTCCTGAAGGCCCCCATGCTGCCTACTGTGAGAATGAAGGGGAGTTGGGGTTCACTTGGTGGAGTCCTGAAGGCCCCCACGCTGCCTACTGTGAAAATGAAGGCGAGTTGGGGGTTCACTTGGTGGAGTCCTGAAGGCCCCCACGCTGCCTACTGTGAGAATGAAGGGGAGAGTTGGGGGTCCACTTGGCAGTGCCCTCAAAGCCCCCACTCTGCCTACTGTGAGAATGAAGGGGAGAGTTGGGGGTCCACTTGGCGGTTTCCTCAAGGCCCCCACCCTGCCTGCTTTGAGAATGAAGAAGTTGGGGATCCACTCGGCGGAGTCCTGAAGGCCCCCACGCTGCCTACTGTGAGAATGAAAGTGAGTTGGGGGTTCACTCGGCAGAGTCCTGAAGGCCCCCACGCTGCCTACTGTGAGAATGAAGGGGAGTTGGGGTTCACTCGGCGGAGTCCTGAAGGCCTCCACACTGCCTACTGTGAGAATGAAGGGGAGTTGGGGTTCACTTGGTGGAGTCCTGAAGGCCCCCACGCTGCCTACTGTGAAAATGAAGGCGAGTTGGGGTCCACTTGGCGGTGTCCTTAAGGCCCCCACGCTGCCTACTGTGAGAATGAAGGAGTTGGGGGTCCACTCGGCGGAGTCCTGAAGGCCCCCACACTGCATACTGTGAGAATGAAGGGGAGTTGGGGGTCCACTTGGCAGAGTGCTTAAGGCCCCGGCACTGCCTACTGTGAGAATGAAGGGGAGTTGGGGTTCACTTGGCAGAGTCCTGAAGGCCCCCACGCTGCCTGCTGTGAGAATGAAGGTGAGTTAGGGGTCCACTCGGCGGAGTCCTGAAGGCCCCCACGCTGCCTACTGTGAGAATGAAGGCGAGTTGGGGTTCACTCGGTGGAGTCCTGAAGGCCCCCACGCTGCCTACTGTGAAAATGAAGGCGAGTTGGGGGTTCACTCGGTGGAGTCCTGAAGGCCCCCACGCTGCCTACTGTGAGAATGAAGGGGAGAGTTGGGGGTCCACTTGGCAGTGCCCTCAAAGCCCCCACTCTGCCTACTGTGAGAATGAAGGGGAGAGTTGGGGGTCCACTTGGCGGTTTCCTCAAGGCCCCCACCCTGCCTGCTTTGAGAATGAAGAAGTTGGGGATCCACTCGGCGGAGTCCTGAAGGCCCCCACCCTGCCTGCTTTGAGAATGAAGAAGTTGGGGATCCACTCGGCGGAGTCCTGAAGGCCCCCACGCTGCCTACTGTGAGAATGAAAGTGAGTTGGGGGTTCACTCGGCAGAGTCCTGAAGGCCCCCACGCTGCCTACTGTGAGAATGAAGGGGAGTTGGGGTTCACTCGGCGGAGTCCTGAAGGCCTCCACACTGCCTACTGTGAGAATGAAGGGGAGTTGGGGTTCACTTGGTGGAGTCCTGAAGGCCCCCACGCTGCCTACTGTGAAAATGAAGGCGAGTTGGGGTCCACTTGGCGGTGTCCTTAAGGCCCCCACGCTGCCTACTGTGAGAATGAAGGAGTTGGGGGTCCACTCGGCGGAGTCCTGAAGGCCCCCACACTGCATACTGTGAGAATGAAGGGGAGTTGGGGGTCCACTTGGCAGAGTGCTTAAGGCCCCGGCACTGCCTACTGTGAGAATGAAGGGGAGTTGGGGTACACTTGGCAGAGTCCTGAAGGCCCCCACGCTGCCTGCTGTGAGAATGAAGGTGAGTTAGGGGTCCACTCGGCGGAGTCCTGAAGGCCCCCACGCTGCCTACTGTGAGAATGAAGGCGAGTTGGGGGTTCACTCGGCGGAGTCCTAAAGGCCCCCACGCTGCCTACTGTGAGAATGAAGGGGAGTTGGGGTTCACTCGGTGGAGTCCTGAAGGCCCCCACGCTGCCTACTGTGAAAATGAAGGCGAGTTGGGGGTTCACTCGGTGGAGTCCTGAAGGCCCCCACGCTGCCTACTGTGAGAATGAAGGGGAGAGTTGGGGGTCCACTTGGCAGTGCCCTCAAAGCCCCCACGCTGCCTACTGTGAGAATAAAGGGGAGAGTTGGGGGTCCACTTGGCGGTGTCCTCAAGGCCCCCACGCTGCCTTCTTTGAGAATGAAGGAGTTGGGGATCCACTCGGCGGAGTCCTGAAGGCCCCCACGCTGCCTACTGTGAGAATGAAAGTGAGTTGGGGGTTCACTCGGCAGAGTCCTGAAGGCCCCCACGCTGCCTACTGTGAGAATGAAGGGGAGTTGGGGTTCACTCGGCGGAGTCCTGAAGGCCTCCACACTGCCTACTGTGAGAATGAAGGGGAGTTGGGGGTCCACTCAGCGGAGTCCTGAAAGCCCCGACACGGCTTACTGTGAGAATGAAGGGGAGTGTGGGGTCCACTCAGCGGAGTGCTGAAGGCCCCCACGCTGCCTACTGTGAGAATGAAGGGGAGTTGGGGGTCCACTCACTGGAGTCCAGAAGGCCCCCAATCTGCCTACTGTGAGAATGAAGGGGAGTTGGGGTCCACTCTGCGGTGTCCTGAAGGCCCCCAATCTGCCTACTGTGAAAATGAAGGGGAGTTGGGGGTCCACTCGGCGGAGTCCTGAAAGCCCCGACGCTGCCTATTGTGAGAATGAAGGGGAGTTGGGGGTCCACTCGGCGGAGTCCTGAAATATCACACGCTGCCTACTGTGAGAATGAAGGGGAGTTGGGGGTCCACTCGGCAGTGTTCTGAAGGCCCCCAAGCTGCCTACTGTGAGAACGAAAAGGAGTTGGGGGTCCACTCAGCGGAGTCCTGAAGGCCCCCATGCTGCCTACCATGAGAAAGAAGGGCAGTTGGGGGTCCACTTGGCGGAGTTTTAAAGGCCCCCATGCTGACCACCGTGAGAATGAAGGGGAGAGTTGAGGGTCCACTCGGCGGTGTCCTGAAGGCCCCCATGCTGCCTACCGTGAGAAAGAAGGGCAGTTGGGGGTCCACTCGGCGGTGTCCTGAAGGCCCCAAAGTTGCCTACCGTGAGAATGAAGGGGAGAGTTGGGGGACCACTCGGCAGAGTCCTGAAGGCCCCCATGCTGCCTACCGTGAGAATGACGGGAAGAGTTGGGGGTCCGCTCGGTGGTGTCCTGACAGCCCCCCACTCTGCATACCGTGAGAATGCCAGGAAGAGTTGGGGGTCCACTCAGTGGTGTTCTGAAGGCCCCCCCTAGACTTCCTGATGGAGGCGTTTAGGAGTAGGACCAGAGTTGGTCTGACGTGAAATGGGCTGGCGATTCGAAAATTGTCGTACTGTAGAGGGAGAGGCCGGAAGCATAGTCAAAGGAGAGCGGAGGTCAGACAAATCGAAGGAGTCGGTGGAAGCCCCAGTACCTGAAGTGGGTGAGGAAACAGCACCAGCAAGAGGTACAGGGGCATCAGGAGTGTCCGAAGAGTGGTCAAAAAACAAGGCAGGTCAGAATGGGGTGCGGTATCAAGAAGGGGCCCGGGGGTAGTAGGTTCATGGACTGGGTTCTCCATGGTTAGGGTACTCCTTTGCTTTTTGTTTTTAAGAAAAAAAAAGAAAATAATAATAAAAGAAAATAAAAAAGGGGGGAGCGGGGAGGAATAGGTCCCAGGAGGAGGACCTCAGCACCGCTAGTAGCGCAGATGCAGCATGGAACCCGTGCCATACCCTACCCTTCATGCCAGTAAACCGGCAATCCGTGATAGCAACCTTACATCTGCCGAGCTACCTCAGTGGACAAAAGAGAGGACGGCTGGATATCCGCCACAAAGCATACTTCCTTCAGCCACCATCCCCGGAATCCGAAAGGTGGCTTCCAAAGATACACCCGTTGCCCGAAAGACACCCAAAGCCACACTCTGGGATACCGGAGAGGGATCGGGACATCCCCAGGCGATCCAGATTCCACGGCAAACTACGCCACCACCAAGAACCTCAACGGAATGGGATGGACCCAAGTACCCTTTCCCCTACCTAGGAACTAGCGCACCTGTGGGAGAAATCCCAAAGGCCAAAAAGAGGAATTAACAATAGAGAAAACGAGGAGAGCAATACTGAAAATAAGGCTCTAATAGGGTTCTTGTAAATGATATACGTATAAATGAAATATTTAATTTTAGAAGTGGCTTTTTATATGTTAAAATTAACTAACTTGGTAGAATGTTTCATTATGAATTTAAAAAAATGTGGAATGGCTAAGGAATGTAAGCATTGGAGGTACGATGGCAAAGAAGAAATACCATTATAGTAAGTGTTTTAAAGGGAAAATAAGCTATATACGTATATGAATGAAATGACACTAAAATATGAGAAATCATACATCTATACATCAATAACAACACTGCACTAGCCAAGGAATCGAACCTATGCTGTTTTGGTGTACACCAGAAGTGTTTACTGGGGAATATTAAAATGGTATTCAGTACTGACAGTTCGATAAGTAAGACACATGTGCAACAGTTAAGCATCTTTATTCCGATACGTTTCGCCTTCACAGTAGGCTTCTTCAGACTAGCACAGAAGAGTTAGCAGAATCAGTAGAGATGTGAAGACGACGTAATTAGTCAATCACCTTTGAAGACGTGGTTTTGAAGTGGTTAGTCCCTCAGCCTGAAGAAGAGTTGTTCCATAGTCTGAAACAATGTGAAGTTAAAACAAAAGTGGGGATGACAGCTAATAATATTTCCCTGTCATATCATGGTAAGTGAAAAACGCATGACGCTTTAGACCACTAGACCAATTGTGTGGTCTAGTGGTCTAAAGCATCATGCATTTTCACTCACCATAAGATGGGCCAAAACAGCAAGGGTTTGACTCCTTGACTAGTGCAGTGTTGTTACTGATCAATACCACTCATTTTGTGGGTACAATAATATACATATATATATACATGTATATACATGTACATACATGAATTGAAAGCAAAGCAAAATGTGGGAGACAAGTGAGGAAAAAGTGGTGAAGACAATATTAGCCACCTAGAAAGAAAAAAATGGGTGTAGAGCTATAAGAGAAGAAAGGTTCCTGTGAGGTTTGAAAAGCTAAGGAAGAAGCTGAAAAAATGTTTGAATAGAGTGGCTTGGAAAGTTTGGGAGCTACCCCTTTAATAGTTTCCTACTGACAGCAAGAAACAGAGATATGAATGGCTAGATAAGTATCTATAAACCTATATAATGAACCAGTCATTTCTAAAACTGAGACCTTGTACTAGCATTAAGGGAAAAAAGTTTGTAAACAATTATGCTTGAATGAATACAAAAAAAAAAAAAGTATTTATTGCATAGCGTTATCTTAAGGTACATCCAAACAAATGAAAACACATTCTTCTTAAAAACTCATCATTAAGACATGCATATTCATAGAGGTATTCATAAAGATTACATTGCATCCTTTCTGGTAATCACATTTGTAATTTATAGTAACATAAACAAGCTCTTTATGACCCCTATGAGTTTAATACTGTCTCCATGTATATAGTAACAATAAAAAGATTCACATACAAATACAAACATTTTATCTCAGCCACTGAGGATTCGAACCCACACTACCCATACCAAACCCAGGCTCAAGAAAACATGTTAGTAATACCATACCCAGACTAGGCATTTAGAGTGTGGGCTCCAATCCCTCATGCAAGTCAAGTTCAAATTTTTGTTTGTATTTCATTCATGGTTACAAAGTTATAGCATTTGGAATCTCTCACGAGGCTGGCATAATGTACTGGACAAGTTGAAATTAGCTTCGATAGATCAAACAGACCACATGAGTTCCCAAGTTTAGAATACCATGTGTAGGGAATCACTGGCAGAGTGGCTAGAGGCATTATATAATGAACAGATGCCACCAACATATAAAGGAACTTAAGACTTCACTGTACATTATGCCAATACAAATACAAACTACATTAAATGAGACAAGAAAGCATATACAAATTAATAAAGGAACTTCAGAGATCACTGTTATCATGCCAATGAAAACACAAAGTACATTAAACTGGAAAAAAAAAGCACACAAATTATACTGAGATATGACTAGGTTAATGGTTAATATTTGATTTTTTGAGCAGGGAAAATAAATATTTTTCACCTCCTGGCATAAGGTAGCTTAACTTTCTTAAACTCTAATAGTCAGTGGCATGTAATAAAACAAAATGCTAGGGTAAGCAAATATCACTTTCAGTCTTTTGATGAGAAACTTTGCTGCAAAATTCTGGCTTGCTCTAAAGATTGTGCAATAATTTGTTTTCAGCTGATAGAAGGGCAAAGCCATTGCAATCTGGTCTGACCCTTAGAATTTCAGGACAAAAGAATAAAGTTACAATACGTATCATTGCTGGAGCAATTCACCAAAAAATGTGACTGGACAGTGATCCAGGGCAGACCAAAATGTCATCATAGGATTCCTCTCCTAAGTGCAGATTTTTAGCAAATTCAGGAGTATGTTTTAATTTATTTCAAAGCATAGAAGCTATGCTCTACAAAAGCAGTCTTTGCTGGAACTATTAATTCACCAAGGCTACCCTACCTACTTCACTGTACACCTTTTTCAAAGTAACTTTATAAAACTCAAACCCACATAATAACTGTGTGTAAAAACTTTAAGACTCTTAATGAATTCCAATTTTCAAATCTGATATTAGCTTGGTTAAATATCATATCATATATATATATTTCTGTAATGTTGCTGGCAGTGATATACAGAGGAGTGGTAGAATGGGCACAGTGGTAGGTAGTAGTAGTACTGAGAGAGGGACAAGCTAGAGCTGTCCCTCCCTCAAGAGGGAGGGACAGATCAAATTCTTTTTAAGTGATGACAAATATTGTCGAGTAGAAGTTCTATCATTAGAAAATCTTTCAAGTTAGATTGATCTGAATCATCCTACTTACATAATTTTGGGAAAATTGCGTTAATCTAATTTTAATTAATAATTTTCATATTACATCTGGCAGTGGTACAGTATATCATTTTATCCAGCAAGAGGAAGGATGATGATACTGCAGATCCAATGTTACATATACCAAGAATTAATTTTCAACTATCAAAAACTGCCTAACAAGTTTCAAAAGTCTCGACTCATTTTACACCAAGTTTAAATCAAAGAAACAAAGATGCACACTGCTATATACGAGTAAATATTGTTAATGCGAATAAATGTGGTAATTCAGAATGGAAGAATTTTTATCTGGGGAGCAATGCTTACCCTGCACACCACTGCTAACAGTACTAGGAAGCAGCAATTTCACAACTGAAAATGCTTACACATTTTTGCCCTTTATTTACAAAGTTTCACAACTTCTATACAGTGGACCCTCGACTAACGATGGCATTGTCTAACATTAAATCCGACTAGCGATACATTTTAACACAAAATTTTGCCTCGACTAGCGCTAAAAAACTCGACCAACACGATTCGTTCCGTTCGAGACGCGTCCACTTTTTGCCTGAGCGCACCTGACTTGTCCCGTGGGTGCCAGTGTTTACAAGCCAGCCAGCCACTGCGGTCCCATCCAAACATACAATTGGAACATTTCATATCACAGCGTTTTTAGTGATTACACCTGCAAAATAAGTCACCATGGGCCCCAAGAAAGCTTCTAGTGCCAACCCTACAGCAAAAAGGGTGAGAATTACTATGGATATGATGAAAGAGATTAAGGAAATGTGTGCAATGTGGGTTGAAGTGCAAACCTTTATGGATGAAAATCACCCTCACACAGCTATTGCAAGCCGTACTGGTGACTATTACAATGACAATGTTGTGAACCACTCTAGACAAATAATAAAGGAATGGGAGGTACAGGCCTCTATGGACAGATATGTTGTGCGACAGAGGTCCAGTGACTCTCAAGCTGGTCCTAGTGGCATTAAAAGAAGAAGGGAAGTAACCCCAGAAAAGGACTTGACACCAAGTCCTAATGGCAGGGGATTCCCCTTCTAAACACTAACACCATCCACACTCTCCCCTCCTCCCATCCCATCAATCATCACCAGATCTTCAATAAAGGTGTCATGTAATTGTACATGTATTCTTCAGTTTGTGTATTAAAATTAATATTTCATGTGGTAAAAATTTTTTTTTTCAGTACTTTGGGGTGTCTTGCACGGATTAATTTGATTTCCATTATTTCTTAGGGGGAAAATTAACTCGACTAACGATAATTTCGACTAACGATGAGCTCTCAGGAACGGATTAATATCGTTGGTCGAGGGTCCACTGTAATTAAAAAACTGTTACCAATACTATGCAGACCTAGTAATGTCATTAGAGATATAAGCTAGTTTCATGTTGCTGATGGGAAGCAGACTGAAGATCTCCACAACGCCTTGCCTTTTGTAAACAGAGTCCAGAGGCTGAAAGAGAGGCGGAGGCCGGCCCACGACGTTTTCTGTCTTCTCCGCAATCCCCACTATTCAAAGTTAACCTGACCTGGTCATTCACAATCTGATCACTGTGTTGTGGTGTGATCATGTGACTGGTATCAACTGTATTCTCAGCAGGACAGATGTGTACATTATGAGAGTTTTCAATGACAGGCCCAGTAGCTACTTCTACACCTCGACGGTGGGACTCGCTACCTACAAGTTATAAAGCCTTTTAATGAGTGAAAAGTACTAAGTATCTTATTTAATCTTGACTCCATCTAGCTATGATCTAATATATAATTCATGCATCAAGCTACTGTATGCAATGTAAAAAATATATGAAAGCAAGGATGACAAGAAAGTTATTACCTTCTTAAAGTTACAATGAATTATTGCTACAATTAGAGAGCATTACCCATGTCCTTGTGTTTCTCCATAAACTATATCACAAATTTAAGTGAGGAACATTACATTCGGCAATTAATCACGTCTAACCTAGAGAACCTGAGAGAGAGTTGTTGGATGATCGGGATGAGGGTCTTGTGAATGATGAAGAGCGACTGTCCTTGTTGGAACGTGCAGAGCTACTTCGTTCAACTTCGCTTTCATTATTTCTTCCATTTTCCAATTTTTCCACCTGAAAAAATAGAAATTATGATCATTGTTCTGAGGACTGGAACTAGTTTAGAGACAAATTACTGGTGTCCGTTACTTTATGGAAAGGATGCATTCCAGACCTATGACAGCTATACTATCCTCAATCAGGCCATCAACTCTTCATTCTGCAAAAGTGTCGTCTTGAATATGTTTGGCAAACCACACTAATTGCATACAGAATTAACAACAGAGAATTCTCATCTGAACTGTCATATCTGCACACCACTACAAAAATGGTGATATGTGAATGATGATGAAAGTGTTAAATGATAGTGAAAGTGCTTCTTTTTTGGGTCACCCTGCCTCAGTGGGAGACAGCCAGTGTGTTGAAAACAAATTATTACTTATTAGTTAGGCCTACATTGGAAATACTGTAAATAAATGCAAGGAAAACTAATTTCTAGGAAAGGATAGTGAGCATTTTCAGAGAATCTATTTAAAAATAATTATTTCAGTCTTCAGCATACTGTGAATTACTGTTTAAACAAAAATAGGCACAGAAATAGCATGATAGATACAATAGGTTTTTCTCCTTTTTCTAAATAGCTCTTGTTCTTCTTTATTTCTTTCAACTGTCCATGGGGAAGTGGAAAAGAATCTTTCCTCCGTAAGCCATGCGTGTCGTATGAGGCGACTAAAATGCCGGGAGCAATGAGTTAGTAACCCCTTCTCCTGTAAACATTTACTCAAAAAGAGAAGAAGAAAAACTTTATAAAACTGGGATGCTTAAACGTGCGTGGATGTAGTGCGGATGACAAGAAACAGATGATTGCTGATGTTATGAATGAAAAGAAGTTGGATGTCCTGGCCCTAAGCGAAACAAATCTGAAGGGGGTAGGGGAGTTTCGGTGGGGGGAAATAAATGGGATTAAATCTGGGGTATCTGAGAGAGTTAGAGCTAAGGAAGGGGTAGCAATAATGTTGAAGGATCAGTTATGGAAGGAGAAAAGAGAATATGAATGTGTAAATTCAAGGATTATGTAGATTAAAGTAAAGGTTGGATGCAAAAAGTGGGTCATAATAAGTGTGTATGCACCTGGAGAAGAGTGGAATGTAAAGGAGAGAGATTTTGGGAGATGTTAAGTGAATGTATAGGAACCTTTGAACCAAGTGAGAGAGTAATTGTGGTAGGGGACCTGAATGCTAAAGTAGGAGAAACTTTTAGAGTGGGTGTGGTAGGTAAGTTTGGGGTGCCAGGTGTAAATGATAATGGGAGCCCTTTGATTGAACTTTGTATAGAAAGGGGTTTAGTTATAGGTAATACACATTTTAAGAAAAAGAGGATAAATAAGTATACAGGATATGATGTAGGGCAAAATGACAGTAGTTCGTTGGATTATGTATTGGTAGATAAGACTGTTGAGTAGAGTTCAGGATGTACATGTTTATAGAGGGGTCACAGATATATCAGATCACTTTTTAGTTGTAGCTACACTGAGAGTAAAAGGTAGATGGGATACAAGGCGAATAGAAGCATCAGGGAAGAGAGAGGTGAAGGTTTATAAACTAAAAGAGGAGGCAGTTAGGGTAAGATATAAACAGCTATTGGAGGATAGATGGGCTAATGAGAGTATAGGCAATGGGGTCGAAGAGGTATGGGGTAGGTTTAAAAATGTAGTGTTAGAGTGTTCAGCAGAAGTTTGTGGTTACAGGAAAGTGGGTGTGGGAGGGAAGAGGAGCGATTGGTGGAATGATGATATAAAGAGAGTAGTAAGGGAGAAAAAGTTAGCATATGAGAAGTTTTTACAAAGTAGAAGTGATGCAAGGAGGGAAGAGTATATGGAGAAAGAGAGGTTAAGAGAGTGGTGAAGCAATGTAAAAAGAGAGCAAAGGAGAGAGTGGGTGAGATGTTATCAACAAATTTTGTTGAAAAAAAGAAAAAGTTTTGAAGTGAGATTAACAAGTTAATGAAGCCTAGAGAACAAATGGATTTGTCAGTTAAAAATAGGAGAGGAGAGTTATTAAATGGAGAGTTACAGGTATCGGGAAGATGGAGGGAATATTTTGAAGAATTGTTAAATGTTGATGAAGATAGGGAAGCTGTGATTTTGTGTATAGGGCAAGGAGGAATAACATCTTGTAGGAGTGAGGAAGAGCCAGTTGTGAGTGTGAGGGAAGTTCGTGAGGCAGTAGGCAAAATGAAAGGGGGTAAGGCAGCTGGGATTGATGGGATGAAGATAGAAATGATAAAAGCAGGTGGGGATATAGTTTTGGAGTGGTTGGTGCTATTATTTAAATAAATGTATGGAAGAGGGTAAGGTACCTAGGGATTGGCAGAGAGCATGCATAGTTCCTTTGTATAAAGGCAAAGGGGATAAAAGAGAGTGCAAAAACTATACGGGGATAAGTCTGTTGAGTATACTACCTGGTAAAGTGTATGGTAGAGTTATTATTGAAAGAATTAAGAGTAAGACTGAGAATAGGATAGCAGATGAACAAGGAGGCTTTATGAAAGGTAGGGGGGTGTGTGGACCAGGTGTTTACAGTGAAACATATAAGTGAACAGTATTTAGATAAGGCTAATGAGGGTTTTGTGGCATTTATGGATTTGGAAAAGGCATATGATACGGTGGGTAGGGGTGCAATGTGGCAGATGTTGCAGGTGTATGGTACAGGAGGTAGGTTACTGAAAGCAGTGAAGAGTTTTTACGAGGATAGTGAGGCTCAAGTTAGAGTATGTTGGAAAGAGGGAGATTATTTCCCAGTAAAAGTAGGCCTTAGACAAGGATGTGTGATGTCACCGTGGTTGTTTAATATATTTGTAGATGGGGTTGTAAGAGAAGTAAATGTGAGGGTCTTGGCAAGAGGCGTGGAGTTAAAAGATAAAGACTCACACATAAAGTGGGAGTTGTCACAGTTGCTCTTTGCTCATGACACTGTGCTCTTGGGAGATTCTGAAGAGAAGTTGCAGAGGTTGGTGGATGAATTTGGTAGGGTATGTAAAAGAAGAAAATTAAAAGTGAATACAGGAAAGAGTAAGGTTATGAGGATAACAAAAAGATTAGGTGATGAAAGATTGGATATCAGATTGGAGGGAGAGAGTATGGAGGAGGTGAATGTATTCAGATATTTGGGAGTGGACCTGTCAGCGGATGGGTCTATGAAAGATGAGGTAAATCATAGTATTGATGAGGGAAAAAGGGTGAGCGGTTCACTTAAGAGTCTGTGGAGACAAAGAACTTTGTCCTTGGAGGCAAAGAGGGGAATGTATGAGAGTATAGTTTTACCAACGCTCTTATATGGGTGTGAAGCATGGGTGATGAATGTTGCAGCAAGAAGGCTGGAGGCAGTGGAGATGTCATGTCTGAGGGCAATGTGTGGTGTAAATGTAATGCAGAGAATTCGTAGTTTGGAAGTTAAGAGGAGGTGCGGGATTGCCAAAACTGTTGTCCAGAGGGCTGAGGAAGGGTTGTTGAGGTGGTTCGGACATGTAGAGAGAATGGAGCGAAACAGAATGACTTCAAGAGTGTATCAGTCTGTAGTGGAAGGAAGGCGGGGTAGGGGTCGGCCTAGGAAAGGTTGGATGGAGGGGGTAAAGGAGGTTTTGTGTGCGAGGGGCTTGGACTTCCAGCGGGCATGCGTGAGCATGTTTGATAGTGAACTGAGACAAATGGTTTTTAATTCTTGACATGCTGTTGGAGTGTGAGCAAAGTAACATTTATGAAGGGATTCAGGGAAACTGGCAGGCCAGACTTGAGTCCTGGAGATGGGAAGTACAGTGTCTGCACTTTGAAGGAGGGGTGTTAATGTTGCGGTTTAAAAACTGTAGTGTAAAGCACCCTTCTGGCAAGACAGTGATGGAGTGAATGATCGTGAAAGTTTTTCTTTTTTGGGCCACCCTGCCTTGGTGGGAATCAGCCAGTGTGTTAACAAAAAATAATAATAATAATATAAAGTGCTACCTCGAGTTTTGAACAGTTCCCAACTCGAACAATTATGTAAGTGTATTTTTTAAAGTGCTTTTATGAGTGTAATTTTGGGGGTCTGAAACGGACTAATCTAATGTACATTATCTCTTATGGGAACAAATTCGTTCAGTAACGGCATTCGAACAGCCTTCTGGAACGAATTATGACAAACTCGAGATACCACTATATCTCATTTTGGTTACATGCCAGTATCCTTGTACCATACGTGAAAGTGGTCAGCAATGACTGGACTAATAGAGCTGTAGCCTGCTCTGTTTTTGTGAAAATTTCCTTACACCTTACTGAGGTCTATGTACACGTAATCATATTCTTCATCATGGTCTATTTCCCTATAAACCTTAGAATTTGGGTACTTGTGACTCAGCTGATACCAGGATCTGTTTGCACAGTGAAGGACCTGGGTTTGATCTCCAGATGAGTTGAAATGTTAGGCATGTTTCTGTACACCTACTGTCCTTGTTCACCTAGCAATAAGTAGGTACCCTGGTGTTAACAGACTGGTGTGGGTCACATCCTGGGGGAGAGGATTAAAGGACCCCAACAGAAATAAGTCAGTCTGATGACATGAGTTTATTGGACTATCCTGAGTTACTAACCCTCCATGTTAAGAAGTCAAACAAAATCTTTTATCCTACAATTGATGCAAGTGTGATAGGGCCTCGGTTTCAGATTATAGCCCAATCTCCCACCTGGTAAATGGGCATCACATTTGTCATTTTTCACTTATCCATTATGATACCAGTTTTCATCGATCTGTTGATAAGACTAGCTAATGTTCAGCAAAGATTCCCTTGCAAACAGCTTTTCAGGGCCCAGTTACTTGTTTAAAATATTATTATTTAAGGGAGCAAGTGGCTAGTAACCCCTTCTGCATATATTACTAAATTTAAAAAGAGAAACTTTCATTTTTCTTTTTTGGTCACCCTGCTTTGGTGGGATGTGTTCGGTTGGATGGAAAACAAAAATTATTCTTTTATTTCTACAAGCATTCTTTTATTTCTACAAGCACATAATACAACTATTTCACACCTAGCTGACATCCTTGGCATACTATATAGCAAGTCCCTGATTATGCAGAGCATATCAGGCAATTTAGGTCAATCTTGTTCCCCAGGATGAGATCCACAACAATATAACACCCAGGTACCTACTTCCTGCTACATGAACAGGGGCAGCAGGTGTAAGGAAACATGCCCAACATTTCACTCATGCCATAATCGACACTAAAAAACTCAGTGTGTGAAACGAGTATGCTATCAACAAAGGCATTAGTATCGTCTAATTGTCTGAGGACCATGTCACAAGTGACTTTGATCTTTTATTATTTGTTTTTATTTTGACTTATATAATTACTGATTTCCTAGGTAGTAGGTTGGTAGACAGCAACTGCCCAGGGAGTTACTACAGTCTTACCAGGGGAGTGTAAAACAAAAGCCTGTAATTGTTTTACATGATGGCAGGATTGCTGGTGTCTTTTTTGTCTCATAAACATACAAGATTTCAGGTATGTCTTGTTACTTCTACTTACACTTAGGTCACACTACACATGCATATACAGTGGTAGCCCGAGTTTCATACATAATTCGTTCCAGAAGGCTGTTCGAGTGCTGTTACCGAACGAATTTGTTCCTAAAAGGAATAATGTAAATTAGATTAGTCTGTTTCAGACCCCCAAAAATACACTTACAAAAGCACTTACAATAATACACTTACATAACTGTTAGAGTTGGGAGCAGTACGAAACTTGAGGTACCACTGTACAAGCATACATGTCCACACCCTTATGGGTTTTCTTCTATTTTCTTACTAGTTCTTGTTCTTATTTCCTATCTCCATGGGGAAGTGGAACAGAATCCTTCCTCTGTAATCCTTCCTCTGTAAGGTATGCATGCCATAAGAGGCGACTATAATGCCGGGAGCAAGGGGCTAGTAACCCCTTCTCCTGTATACATTACTAAAGTAAAAAAAGAGAGACGTTTGTTTTTCTTTATGGGTCGCCCTGCTTCAGTGGGATATGGCCGGTTTGTTGAAAGAAGAATAATTACTGATTTCTGGGATTTCATGTTATACAACATGGTATCTTGGTACAGGAAAGGCCACCAACAACTCTACTCCTAACAAAGGTTTAGCATGACCTATTTCTACTAGTTAGCCACGCTCATCTATGACCTCATCTCCAAGCTTCTACACCTCATTTCTGGGATTTCATTTGCATTCTTTTGTATAAAAACAAAAAGGACGTAAGTAAAGAAAATGGTATACATTTCTTTGTCACTAACAGTTGCCCTGATTTACAGTTAAGTGTGTCTTTACTGCACTTTTATTCCTATATACCTGAATAAAACCTTTTGAGTTGGGAGTATCTGATTTCCTCGCAACCTTAATTTCATACTGTCTTTTGGTTATCTTTATTTTTTTACTTCTCTTTTAAATTGAATATTTGCTTAATAAAGTGACCACTTTGCATTTGCCTGTAAAATGCCCACTACAGTATATATGTTATTTACAAATATTATAAGAACAAATGAAAAAGAACAAAAATAGATTAATGACTCAACTAGTGCAAATAAAAAAATTAACCTTCTATCACAACATTAAGTTTAAAGATCATGCAAAAGAAAATGTCATCACATAATGCTAAATAAAGTGTAGATTAAACTCACTGATTTATCTATGGCCCTAAACTGCCATAGCCAGCGATAATTATACAGGAATTGGCGATGGTCAAAGCGATGATCATCAGGGGAGTAAGTCTCGGCATGGTATGCTGGAGTTAACACAGTCATCTTGTGACGATTAATGCTATAATACCGGAAGAAAAGCTTAACCTTTTCTGCAACCTGAAAAATAAAGAATGCTTTGAAGTATATTTCTGATTTATGTTCTGGACTTACGATATTGGCACTTTGGAACCAATTAATTACTTATGAAAGGTGATTTACAGCTGCTGTAAAATCATTGCAAATACTCCAACTGATATCTTTTTTTTTAAACACCAGCCGTTTCCCACTGAGGCAGGGTGACCTGTAAAAGAAGAAACAAAAGCTTTTCTTTATTTCACATTTAGTACTTTATACAAGAGAAGGGGTTAGTAGCTCCTTGCTCCTGGGCATTTCGGTTGCCTTTCATGAGACACTTGGCTTATGAAGGAAGAATTCTTCTCCACTTTCCCACAGAGATCAAACTGACTTTTTTTTTTTTTAACACGTCAACCGTCTCCCACCATGGCAGGTGACCCAAAAATAGAAACACTTTCACCATCATTCACACAATCACTGTCTCTGCAGAAGTGCTCAGATATAACAGTTAAGCTGTCACTCCAAACAGCCAATATCCCCAACCCCTTCCTTAAAGTGCAGGCACTGTGCTTCCCACCTCCAGGACTTGAGTCTGGCTAACCAGTTTCTCTGAATCCCTTCACAAAATATTATCTTGCTCACACTCCAACAGCTTGTTAAGTCCCAAAAAGCATTCGTCTCCATTCACTCCTATTTAACACACTCTCAAATGCCTGCTGCATGTCTAAGCCCCCTTACACAGAAAATCTCTTTTACTCTCTCCCTCCATCCTTTCCTTGGATGATCCGTACCCCTCTTCCCCTCCAAGTCATCCTATTTTGCTCCAACCTCTCTAAATGACCAAACCACTTCAACTACCCCTCTTCAACCCTCTGAATAATACTTTTAGTAACTCCACACCTCCTCCTAATTTCCACATTATGAATTCTCTGCATATTTACACCACACATTGCCCTTAGACACAACATCCCCACTGCCTCCAGCCACCTCCTTGCTGCAGCATTCACAGCCCATGCTTCATATCCATTTAAGAGTGTTGGTACCACTGAACTCTCATACATTTCCTTCTTAATAACATTTGTTTTTGTCTCCACTGATACCTCAATGCCCCACTCACCTTTTTGGCTTCATCAATTCTATGGTTTACTTCATCCTTCATAAATCCATCTGCTGACAATTCTACCCCAAAATATCTGAGCACATTCGCTTCTTCCATACTCTTTCCCTTCAATGTGATATCCAATTTTTCTTTATCTAACTCATTTGATACCCTCATCACCTTACTCTTATCTATGTTCACTTTCAACTTACTTTGTTCCTCTACACACCCTCCCAAACTCCTCCACTAACCTGAAATTGCAATAAATAATTTTTTCAGTTGTTTCTTCACCAAGAGCATGCATAGATTTGCATAGATTGTGCATGTTCATTTTAAAGATATACTGTACAATAAAGAGTTTACATTTGTCTGGTAGGGATTGATCAAAAACTATAATTTTATATTTGTGAGTTTCTTTGAGTTGAATTTTAAATGCAGTACGTTTTCCTCTTATTCTTTACCAAACATACATTCACACTTTGTATGTGTTCATTTTATGCATGTATCAAGATTCACATTTGTTAGATAGAGACTGCTGAAGACTAGAAATTTAATACAGCACTATCTGTAATTCTGCTAAGGCTGAATTACTAATATTGATTTTTCCTTGAATAACTTTCTACCAAATGCATTGGTGTTTTGAGTGCAGTGAGGCCCCAACCTATGAAGTTCTGAGTTCTGAGGTTTCACACTCACATTCTGGAACCATTTAATACTTGTACATAGATCAATATCAGGACAACTATATTTATCATCGTCTTAAGGATGAATTATACAGTAACTAATAAATTTTTCTGGGTTAGTTTTTACCAAATGTGTTCAAACTTGTGTATGTACATTTGATGCATATACAAACATACTGTTTGTCCAAGACCAAATTTTGTATGGAAGACAGTGCCCCTTGCCATACTGTCAAAGACAAAGAATTGCTTAAATTATCGTGACTAGCCTGGAAACTCGCTGAACCTTAATCCGATGAGTTTAAACATAGCTACTACAGGTCCCCCTCAACATTCGCGTTTTCAACTTTCGTGGTCTTCACACATTCACGAACTTCCAGTCGTCAAATTCCCAGCAGCAAAATCATATTTAAGTTTCCCGCTACCCACATGTCCCAACTACCCTCCCTCTGACCCCCGCAACAGGCAGCCCCAGTGGAAATAGGTCACTCTGTCTGACTTTCTTGGCGTATCCTAGGTTCTCTACACATTTGCTGCTATGTATGATAATCTATGTAACTGTAATTGTGTATACCTGAATAAACTTACTTACTTAGCCACCCCGCTTGCCACTCACTCAAGTCATTCTCCAGCCAGTGATGCTGGCAGTGAAGACTTAGAATGCACACACTAGACTCATCATGCCATGCAGTTACACTCCATATATTCATGACTGCATATTGGAATGGCCATTCGGACAGGTATTGGATGGTGACATATGTTTACTCTTGAACACTGCAAAAAATCGAACATTTCTGCTGCTGCTACTGCTAAAAATAATAATAATAATAACAATAATAATAATAATAATTGGATATTGGACAGTGACCATTTGTTTACTCTTGAACACAGCAAAGAATCGAACATTTCTGCTACTGCTAATAATAATAATAATACGATAGAACTGAAGAAGGAAATTGAACAAAAATACGAGGGTTGAAGCAGTGGTGGAGGAAGTGGTTGAGGCATCGTGAGTCAGTGTGGCTTTGTTTATGCTGGGGTGAGCATTAGCCTCTTGCTCTTCCAAACATTTCACAATAATTCATTGTTTGGTGCTTGTTGATTGAGTGTGACTGCTACATAATTAACCATGGGCCCAAAGAAACTTGCTAGTGCCAGCCCTTTGGTAAAGAAATTGAAAAACACGACAGAATTGAAGAAAGAAATTGTACAAAAATACGAGGCAGTGTGCCGCAGTGGTTGAGGCAGTGGTATTTAACCCTTTCAGGGTCGAGAGGCCCTCTCCTAAACTCATTCTCAGGGTCGAAAATTTTTTGGAAAATTTTTTTTATTTTTTCTAATGAAATGATAGAGAAGCTTTTCCCGATCATAATGACACCAAAAGTATGAAATTTGATGGAAAACTTATGGAATTATGCTCTCGCAAAGTTAGCGGTCTCAACGATGTTTACGTATCGACGATTTCGCCATCTTTGAGCCCTATTTTTGGCCAATTCCAGTGTACTAATTGACAAAAATCATATCTATTTCACTAGAACTCCATTTTTTCTATCGAATGAGTACCACCCATTTACCGATTTCAACTAGCCAATAAAGGGTCCAGAATAAACAAGACAGATATTCCTGGCACTAAAATAACATTTTCTCTGTTCATTAGTCGCGTCCCCAGGCCCCTCTTACATCTCTTTTGCTTTCCACTTTGAATTTTTATTCTCATAAAAAATAGATTTACTGTTATGCAGACTACTGCATTAGTGTAGAAATGTTGTAGAAATGGTATAAATAATATCAGCACACTTGTGAAAGAATATTAGACTCGCCAATTAATGTGTATTGGACGCTTGGCATGATTTATTTACTTTTGAACTTCGGTAAAAATCTAACATTTCTGCTACTTTGAGCTCAATTTCAAGGTACTTTTCTTTATGAAACCAATCAAAATCATCTCAATTCCTGTAATATGTCTTTCATTCTATAAAATGAGACAAGGAAAACTAAAATACAACCATAAATACCATACGAAAATACACTGCAAAGTCACTGTTTTAAACCAAAAACATGGTCCGAGTTTTTTTTTCTCATTATGCACTGTGTGCTGCAGGATTTTTTTTATACTGTGCACACTGACCACATAGACCCATTCTTTCATATGTAGGCCTACCAGCTTTCTCTCACTAGATTTGAAGGCGCTAGAATTTAGGCGTACTAGTACATCAATAACCCTAGTGCGTAAGCCGTACTAGTATGTCAGAATCCCTGAAAGGGTTATTAACATACATGTTATTAAACCATAACATGTATGTATTTTTTTTTTCTTTTTTTTTCTCAACAAGTCAGCCATCTCCCACCGAGCCAGGGTAACCCAAAAAGAAAGAAAATCCCCAAAAAGAAAATACTTTCATCATCATTCAACACTTTCACCTCACTCACACATAATCACTGTTTTTGCAGAGGTGCCCAGAATACAACAGATTAGAAGTACATACAGTGGACCCCCGCCTTACAATATTAATCCATTCCTGAGACTCATTGTAAGCCGAAATTATCGTTAGCCGAATTAATTTTCCCCATAAGAAATAATGGAAATCAAATTAATCCGTGCAAGACACCCCAAAGTATGAAAAAAAAATTTTTTTTACCAAATGAAATGTTAATTTTAATACACACAAACTGAAGAAGACATGCACAATTACTACTCTACTAAGAATAGAATACATGACACTTACCTTTATTGAAGATCTGGTGATGATTGATGGGATGGGAGGAGGGAAGAGTGTGGAAGTTATTGTTTAGAAGGGGAATCCCCTTCCATTAGGACTTGAGGTAGCAAGTCCTTTTCTGGGGTTACTTCCCTTCTTCTTTTAATGCCACTAGGACCAGCTTGAGTCACTGGACCTCTGTCGCACAACAAATCTGTCCATAGAGCTCTGTACCTCCTGTTCCTTTAAGACTTTCCTAAAATGGGCCATAACATTGTCATTGTACAGGTTGCCAACACGGCTTGCAGTAGCTGTGTCAGGGTGATTTTCATCCGTAAAGGTTAGCAGTTCAACCCACTTTGCACACATTTCCTTAACCCTTTCAGGGTCCACAGGCCCTCTCAGAAACTTGTTCTCAGGGTCCCCCAAATTTAAGAAAAAAAAAATTATTTTTTTCTTATGAAAAGATAGATAATTTTTTCCCGATCATAATGACACCAAAAGTATGAAATTTGATGGAAAATTTATGGAATTATACTCTTGCGAAGTTAGCTGTCTCGACAA